GACGAGGACTGCGGCGGGGTTCAGGACTTCGTCGCCAGGCTGGCCAACAACACGCACCAGGTGAGCGGGCACCGGGCCCGGGCACCGCCCGGACTGCGAGGTGCCGCCCCTGGGCCCTTGGGCCCCTGGCGGCAGCCCTCCCCGCCCGCGCAGCTGGCCCTTCTGTCTCTGTCCGCGCGCCTCGCGTCCCCGCGGAGGAGACCCCGGCGGCTCGCCGGCCCCGCGGCGCCCGCGCCCCTGGGGCTGCGGCCCCGAAACTGCGGCGGGCGGGCGGGTCAAGTCGGGCCCGGGGAGCGGTTCCTGGACACTGCGGCCCGGGCGTCTGTGTTTCGTCACAGGGGAGGCAGTCTTAGACTTTCACGGCATTTTTTTTTAAGTTGTCAAAATCTCTCGAGCGTCGTTGTTTTCCGTCTGTGTAAATAATTAGGATCCAGTAACGCTATACCCCACCAGGAAGCTGGAGGAATAATTACCTCTTAAGTGGTTGGAAGTTGGGCTGCGCAGAAGCGAAGGTGCGTCCTCTCGGGGTCAGTACTTTCAGGGTGGATAGGCGGCTGTTCAGAAATCCCAAAGCAGTTGTTAGGTTACTGTGTGTATTTTAATAGTTAAAGAGAGAAGCTTGGAAATGGGATGACAGTATATATGTGATCTCTCTTTTTTACGCCTTCAGTTTGACCTTCTATCATGGCATTGGACTCTGACCAGGATGTGTATATCCTTTTGTAACAAGGTTTCCAACAGTTAAGAAACACACTGCAGTTATTCTGCTTTGAGCTAGGTCCTAGTCGAAAACTTTAAAAATTGTGGCAGTTCGGTCTCTGGGGACAAGCACCTCAACCTTTGCACACTACTGGATTGACAAAGCCAGTTGTTAGGAATGGCCCCTCTCCTTGTTCCAGTGCAACTTGGGCATCTTCCCCATGTATTTTCTAGAACTAACGATTTTATAGTTGCTACCTATATTTGCACAATGTATTTTCAAATTTAATATATTTTTTCTCTTATACACCTTCCTCTTTCAAAGAGAGTTGCACATGGGGACAGAGGTGAGTGGCTAACTGTTCTTGTCGTTGTAGAACTATATTATGTAGAAACCAAATCTGTCTCCCTTTGGACTGTCCTTCTCCCTCTGCCTAAACTATACTTGCTACCTGTGCAGAATTCTCTGATCTGGGGACCCAGGACAATTGCAGTCAAAGCACAAGCAGTCAGGGATAACTCTTGCTTAATGCAGTCCAAGCAGCAGCTGTGTAAAGGTGGCCAAGCTAGTGCTGATGTGTGGGACAGGTTGTGTGCAGATAGGGTAGAATGAGTACTGGGAAGTCTTCCTGTTTGATGAGGAAAAAAAAAATTGTGTAGACTTCCATATCACAGTGGGGAGTTGAGAAAGGCTTTACAACGCCAGTGCCTAATTTATAATGGGGCCACTTCCTTCCTTGAGCCAGCTAGACACAACATTCTTATTCCTAATTTCAGATTTTTCTCTTGTTGGTTGACCTACCTTTAGGCTCTGAGCTTACACCTGGATTTATTCCTTTAGTCAGAGTCTTCCCTAGTTGCTTTGAATTGATATGTCACTTGTAATATATTGATTCTAAAGCAAAGGGTTGAAAAAGCTGCCTCAGGGGATTCTTAGGCCATATCTACTGAAGAGCAGATCTGAAACCTCATTCATTGAAGTCTGTATGTAAAAAAAAAAAAAATCCCTCTTTTTCTTTCATTTTATTTAGCTACAGTTTCCAGTGATTTGTTTTAAACTTACTTTTTTAGTCTCCTTTCAGTGACCTAATAGAAAAGAGCTTTTTTTTTGTGTGGGTGTTTCTTAACCATTCATGGTTGTTTCTTCAGAGATCCTATTTTGTAGCCTATAATGGTAAAAGTGGAGCCACTGTTAATAGTCATCACCTTAGAAATGGTTGACTAAAGCAGTTCTTAGCTGTCCACCCCCTTTACCAAGAATTGTTCCATAGTAGTCTGCTCTGCTTTTCAATTCTGTATTTCTAGGAGTCATGATAAAGCATCCTGAGCTCTGTTGAAGAGATCTAGTATTGGCGGATCCTCTATAAACAGTGTGAAATAAAAGAATCAGTATGACAGAACTTTTTATCAGAAATATGGCATACTTTTGTACAGCTGGAAAGGTGCCATTTAGAGTAGTTTTTCATGAGATGACAGGATTTAATTCCCAAGAAAAATTAAAAATTCTTGGTTCTCTTATTTGTTATAACTTGCTGTTCATGTGAAGCCATATTACTTCATGTAGCCAGAGTGCATGAATACCCTCCAAATGTCCACGATGTGCTAGATGCTGGGAGTGCCAAGATTCCAAGACAAGATAAGTCAGACTGGAGAATGAAAAGCCTCAGAAGGTTTTAGCAAATTTCCTAGACCTGTTTCTGTGGCTTATTTGGCTTGTGAGAGTATGTTGGCACTTAACTAATCTTCTTAGGAAAGCAAAGGGGAACTAAAGCATGATAGTACTGTTCTGTTCTTCTGGTTTTAGGAGACCTGTGCCCTAATGACCTATAACTCAGGCTTCTTCACTCATGAAATCCAACTAGTGCGTGTGTGTATTTATAAATGCTTTTTTTCTTAGACTCAATAAATAACCTTCCTTTTGCCTTTAACCCCAGACTGTTTTCATGCCATGCTTTTAACTGATCCTTTCCTTTAAGCGTTTGGAGTATTCATGACATTTATGACCTTTGTGCATGAGAGAAGTTGAGCAAGCCTAGAAGATTTTTTTAATGTTGGTTGCTAAGTTGGATTGCTTCAAAACATTCCTCCTATAAGCACCCCTTTGAGGTTAGGCATGAAACTCTGTCTTAAAGAAACAGATGAACTGCCTTGGCCAGAGTTATGGTGGTGGCTGACATAATTTCCTTACTTCTCATTTCTGAATTCAGAACTTTTGACAGTTACCTTAAAACTTTTCAAACTTACGATTAATAAAGCCAGGAGCTGTTGTTGTTCACTCTCTGTTCTCCTCCTGTTCTGTCATTAACTCCTTTACACGTAACTTCCCAACTTCTACCTCAACATCAAAGCATCTGGTTTCTTAAATAAACAGGCCCTGAATGAGGCCGTGTTGTGCGGGGCGTCAGCTCTGAGAAGAATGTGTGTGTGTGTTTGCTGGTGCTGGCAGAGCTGAGTCCAGGCCACAGGACTGAATGTGCCTGTTGGAGGCTTCGGGGAGCTGCCGCACTTAGTCTCTTGTGGATCTTTGTCACATCCGGAAATCTGAAGGTCAGTGCCTTTAACTGCCCCGGAACTTTCTAACTGCCTTATTTATTTCAGTACCCAGCCCCTCTTCATCCTACCTTCCCCAGCACTCCCACCCTCACCCCCTAGTTACTCTTCTCTTGAGTCCTGTTTCATCTGTTTATTTTGGGATCAAGAAATAGGAGTTCTGTAGGATCTCGCTCCTGTCCTGGTTGAGCAGAGTGAGCACAGTCCTTCCGAGGATTCCACGCCCATGCAGTGTGCTGTCAGGCCTTTAACTCTTCAGGATGTTAAATGACTTCTGCGTTGAGGATTTCGGTTAGGAAGATTGGCAGAGTAGATGAGGTGTATTTATCTGGGGGAAGGTTAATCTTCATCTGAGGTTTGGTTGGACGAGGGTAGAGAGCTAGCCAGGCAGGACAAATGGCTCAAAGGGAATGCAGTGTAACAGTTAGGTAGGTTCTCTGCTGACTCAAATATTTGGCTCTGCACATAGTGATTTTTAATTCGAAAATTAAAAATCAGTATGGTGAATCTCCTATCTGTTTGTGAAAATAATTGGAAGCAGGCTTATGTTCTGGTCAGTGTCTAATGGCTATTTTCTTTTTATAATGATAACAATAATAGGCTCTTCATCCTGCTATTTCAATCTGATGTTTCACGTCAGGTTCGAAGAAGCTGTTAACAACCTCTTTTGCACTGTGCCGATTTCCAGTCAGCTCTTGCCAGTAAGCGTTATGTTCTCAGTAGGTGACTGCTGAGACTGTGCCCCCCAGCTTTGTCCTAGTGGGCCTGTTACCCTTGTGTGATCCTCATAGGAAGGGCGGTGCTTAACACCAGGTTGTAGTGGTCCGATAGGAGAGTCACATTTCATTTTCTTCCTCCATTCCTAATCACCCCTACCCCTCAAGTTCTGTCTTTGCAGAGAGTGAGCTGTACTTTGAGACTGCAGAAATGATGCTCTGATGTTTTATACAATTAGAAGCTAATATTAAAGTAGACAAGACTATCAAATTTGATATGCAATTAAAATACAGCTTTTCCGGCAAGAGGCTGTGTGGCAGTGGCTCCCAAAATACTGTAAAACAGACACTGCATTTGTAAATTTCTGGAAAAAAAATTTAGTTATCTTTCTTTTTGTAACCAGTGTTTCTATTGCATCTTTTACTTCTCTTTTTAAACACTTGGTGAAAACTTGTTCTTCCCACTGTGTATGTGGCCTCACTGTTCTGTACATAGGTGGTTTTGAGGAGTAATGGGGCTTGAGGAACAAGATGGTCAGCTTCAGTCAGTTCTGGGCAGGCTTTTTACTGTCACTGTAATGGTGACTACAGTCAAAATTGGGTTAGTAAAATGTGGCTTTGAGCTAGCTGGGATGAATGAACCTTCATGAAAGACCTCCATCCATTTAGAGGTTGTTAGTTGAATGCTGAGCATGTGGGGGTTTTGTTTGTTTTTTTTTTAAGATTGAGGCTATTTTTCCTGCTCTATCCTCAACCCAAGTCTCAGGAAACCACAGAGAAAACAAAATCTTTGATTCAGAGCCTGTAGTGTTTTGCTAAGAAAGTTTTCTGTGAATGTAATTTATTTTCTGTTTTGCATTTCAGTATCTGGCCCTCAACTCCTCATCTACAACATGAGAAGTTTTGGACTAGATTTAAAATGTCTTTAAAAATTTTGTGATTCATATGGAAGAAGGGGCCAGAGGTTGTGATCACAAATGTTTATTGGTTGATTCCAAATTTAGAAGCAAATTGTGGCTCTTCTGCTTCCCAGCTGAACTTGAACGTAGCCTGAATTTCACATCTGGGGGTAATTTGTTACCACCTCCAGAACTTGCTTCAGTGAAATACGAGTGTTCTTAAAGATAACAGGAGTACTTTTTTTTTTTCCATATAATTATGAAAGACATTTGACTCATTTTTTGGGAAATGCTTTATTGTTCCTTGTTGACTGAAAAAAATCTAACGCTACTCAAAGCTACTAGCTTGGATAGTCCAACAGCAAACCAAATTTGCTAGATAGCTAGCAGTAAATTTTTTTTCCTTCCCTATAGTACTCTGCCAAAATCGGGGCTTTTCTTTTTCGTCCTGGCTGCCTATGTGTTTAAAAATATATGCTTGGCTTACTGTTAATATACTCAGTCCTGTGCTAGTTAGAAACTTAGGTGTGATTAATTGGCTTGATTTATTTTCATTAGAAGAAAATGTATTTTTTTTCCTGCTACGGCTTATGAGTAGTACCTCTCTTATATTTGCTTTTGTTAAGGGTTTTATTCTTTTCTTCCTGTGTGTTCTGAAAGACTAAGTTCTAATATTGTAGTTGAGCCAGTTTGCAAATCTCGTTCAACAATAAGATCACCCTGAAGGACCAAGAAAAATTGAACTGAGAAGGACCTTTTTAATTAACTATTACTTCCTAGACAAGATAGTTCAGATCAGATGTTCATCTGGTACCTGCTCCTTGTCAGAGGGATTCAAATCATAAATATGTTCTATACAAAATTCAAAAGAAATGTCTTAATACCCAGCTTTGAGTCCTGGCTCTGCTGCTTCATAGTTATGTTGGTGTGATCGTGGACAAACACTTAACTTCTCTGACCTTTATAGCTTGTTTGTTTTAACTAGAGAATCAACTTTAGGATTATTTGGAGGAGCAAATGAGAAGTTCTATCAAAATGTATTGTTAAGTGTAAAGCATTGTATAGATATCATTCACTTTAACACTTTTTGGGTTCAGGCCTCTGTGTAAGGAAAGTGGAACATTAAAAACATCCAAATTGGTGTCATTTTAAAATGGATTTTGTTGCCAAGAGTTTGGGAGAGCTTTTGAAGAAGGCATGAACACTGCAGTGCGGTGGTCTGGGAAGGTCTCACGGATGAAGAGAGAATCAAGGTGTGGAGGGAATTCCTAGGAGGATCTGTAAAGGCAGAAAAGGTAGAGAAGTCCAAGACATGCTTAGGGAATGGTCAATGGAGAGTTTCTGTTGGGAAAAAGTAGTTCATGAGGTATGACTAAGGTTTCCAGCAAAACATATTGAAGAGTCAAAAAAGATAGCCCTCTGAGGGAGCTGGAAAGAGAAGGGGGATATGGGTAGGGAATGTGGTGTTAGGATTTACTAGAGAAAGTGTTTTGTTTGTTTGTTTGTTTTTTAATTCTTAAAAAAATTTCATTGAGAGGAGGAAGAGGTAATAAGGCTTATTATTATATTTTTTTAATGGAGGTACTGGGAATTGAACCCAGGACCTCATGCATGCTAAGCACGCACTCTACCACTGAACCATACCCTCCCTTGGATTTACTAGGGAAGGTGTTTTAACAGGTAGTGGTAGACATGAGGCTAGAGCTGGATAAACCAGAGCTGAAAATGGGAAGTCAAGAAGAGTTACCCTTTTAGAGGTTGAGCATTACTGTGGTCTTGGAAGAGTATGTCCAATAGGAGAGCAGAACAGAGGGCAGGACAGACTGTCTTTTATACTTGAAGTGCTCAAGGTTCTAAGGAACATTCCAAGACTCCAGGGCCTTATTGAAGGGGAATGTGAGCCAAGGCATGAGAAACCCAGGAGCTCTAAGACAGTGAAGCCCATGAACAGATTTTCTGAACATTTGTGAACAAGGGTAAGATTGAACTCTTGCTGATAATGTGCTTAACAGTATGAATTATAAATTGTTAGGCTGATTAGCTGGTCAGATCTCTTACCTAGGAGGCTAAATGTCTTGTTTATGTGCCAAGAGCTGGGACATATGTCCCAACATGGTGCTACATTTGGAAGTGTTTCATAGAGATGTTTTAAGTCAGTGCATTTGCTTTAGGGATAAGGCGTGGTTATAGACCCCAGTTGTAAGTCACATAATTGTGAATTCCTGTCTGCTCTTTAAGGTCATAGTTCCCTCAACAGAGCTCAGTTAGCCTTTCTAAAACCTCAGTTCACCCTCCTGTAAAATGGAGCATTATCATGAGGCTTTGAAGAGAAAATGTTTTGAAAAACTTGAAGTACTAAATACGTAGGATTTATGTCATTTCTTGATAAGCTTGTTGATCTGTTACTGCATCCGGAGAGCCCAGTTGTCAGCCAAATGATCCTGATAAATACCAACTCCAGAGGAACGTGTGCATAAAAGGAGACAGATGAGGCATAAATGTATTTGATTTTATTACTTGGCAGGGTTGGGTGACAGGCTTGGGCGAGGGTGGCAAGAATGAGAGTGAGTCAAGATTGGCAGAAATATAAGAAGCATATGTGTTCTTTTTTTAACCTTCATGATTACATCAAAATTTAACTTGTTAATATGAGTGATACTAGCAAGTGATATTAATTGGAGTTCTTTTAGGCGGTGGTTAGGAAGGAACATGATCTCAGGTCAGACCTGGATTCATACTTCACTGGTGACCAGGGACAGATGGATTTCAGTGAACCTTAGTTTTTTCCTCTATAAAATGGGTATACTTATACTTGCCTCTTAGGGTCCTTATGAAGATTAAATGAGGCAGTGTAGGATTTGGTGTGTGTTCATTCTCTATTGAGGGTATCTTAAAATGATTATCACAAGGTTTCTGGTGCATTACTAGTTAGATGCTCAAATATTTGTGTGTGCATTTAAGGGTTTTTTTCCCCCATAGCTGTAATGTTCCTAGAGAATTAGTATGGGTACTCACAGGAACCAGATCTGGATTAAGAAATATATACTACTTATGTCCTTGGACTTAGAATTGAAAAAAAAGTTGGGTAAGGTGAGGGAGAGACCTCTGTCCAAAGTGTCTTTCTTGAAGCTATGGGAGATGAGGAAAAAAATAATAATCCCACCATCATCAGATCCTGGTCATCTGGTTATAATAGCTGCAGGTGTATATAGTTATTTACTTACAGTGTTAAAGAACTTATCGATTATTAAAAAAAGACTACTTATAATTCAATAAATATTTCCCTTCTGTGGTTTTAAGTTGACAGCTTTAAAATAGCACTTTGCCTGTTTCACCCTCATTCATTAACTGAGCAGCCACCATTAGTTTTGTGCTCTATGGA